ATCATCACACAAGCGAACATTCATCCACACCCAACCAACAAAATTTAAATCAATTAATCACCTTTCAATCTCTACAATGGTTATGTATTTAGATTGGGAATTTATGGCTTCCAATCACTATACAATGAGTTCCAATACTTAATCCATACTCATATTCCCATAATAAATCCGTACATGTAAGTCTAAGGGTATAAGATTACCTTTTTAGAAGAAATCTTGTAAAAACCCTCATTTGAGTTCTTGAAGATCTAAGTATTTTATTGGGGATTAATTACCTTGAAGAATACACGAGTTGGTGGTCTTGAGAGAGTGGAGAAGAGCTCCAAAATTTGTCAAAGTGAAATGGGGGAAATGAACCCCGAATTGACTTAAAAAGAGCTGGAGCTAGGGCGCGTCTACTCTAGCGTAGTGTGCCTCACTTCGCTATCCACTGCATGCAAGGGAAGACATGATCCGTGTCTGGTCTGGCGAAGCGAGCTCCGCTTCGTTGTCCGCCAAATTAACTAGGTAGTCTAACTTTAGTAATTTGATCATAACGAAGCTATTCAAATTTCCGAAATCAAAATCCGAGCCCGTTATCAACAAGGTCAACCCTCAGTCAAACATATAAATATTTCAAAACTCAAAATTTTCAATTTTTGCCAAAATTTGCCGAATTATCCTACGGACTTTCAAATCTAAATCCGGACATACGCCTAAGTCCGAAATTACCATACAAAACTATTGAGATCATTAAAACTCCATTTCGGAGTCGTTTGCATAAAAGTCAGACTCCGGTCAACTCTTTTCACTTAAGCTTCAAAAATAAGAATTTATTTTTTCAATTTAATCCTGAATCATCCGAAAACCAAACTCGACCACACACGCAAGTTATAATTCACAATACGAATCTACTCGGGACCTTAAGCCGTTGAACGAGATGTCAATTCTCAAAAACGACAAGACGGGTCGTTACAGAAGGGATAACATGAATTATAACCCCAAATAATGATAATTAACAATGAGAGATATAACATGAACAATAACTTCAAATAATGATAATCAACAATGAAAGAGATAACATAAACAATAACTTCGAATAATGATAATCAACAATGAAAGAGATAACACATAACAATTAAAAAGGCAACAAGTTCAACTAAAGCACGAGAGCAATTTATCAATTAGAATATAGAACACGTGATAACAAAATCATTTAAGGCATGCAAGGATAGACTAACACAAGTAAGAATAGATTGACTATGAGAATTTAGAACATGATATGACAATTGAATTAAGACGTGGAATGAGTATAAGTAGCCTAAACCAGTCAAATACCATCTACAACTCGTGTACCCACTCGTCACCTTGCATATACATATTTCACATAACACAAATAAATCAATCAATACCAATCCTAAGGGGTATTTTTCTCATACAAAGTTAGGCAAGACACTTACCTCAACTAGGCCAATTTAACACTCGAAATAGCTTTTTCTTTAAAATTCGCCTCCACACGGTTCAAATCTAATCAAAATCGGCTTAATATCATCAAACAATGCTAGGAAAATCAAATGCAATAGATAAAACTAAGATCTTTACACTTTTCCCAAAAAGTCAACCCGGGGCCCGCCCGGTCAAACCCCGGGTCCAATGGTAGATTGCGACTGCTCATGATCCCATGAGTTCATATATATGATTAGTATCAAAATCTGAGTCCAAATCGACTCTCAAAACTCAATTTCTTATTTTTTTCAAAAACTTGACAAAGTTTCACAAATTTTCACTTTCATTCATATGATTTTGATTTTAAAATCTAAGATATGTTGGTAGAATATGATTAGAAATAGATTAGAATTACTTACCCAAGGTTTGTAGGTGAAAATCCACTCTCTAAATCGTCTCTTACCGAGTCTAGGGTTCAAAAATGAAAGAATGAGTTAAAAAATCCCATCTCCCAAGCCTTTAACTAGCTGCAGATGTCACTTTGTTTTTTAATTAATCTTGATCTCTTAATTGTCTAAATTTATTGGTCAATAGTTCATCGTTTGGCAAGTATACACCAACATTTTATGAGGGCTTTACTTTCTTAAAGATCAGACAAGCTTCTCAAATGTCATACCTAGTATTAAGGGGCAGAGCTAGGGGTGAAAACGGGTTTGAATAGAAAATTATACTGTGTATATAATTTTTTTTATGTATAATATATCGTAAATATTGAATCCTCTTAGTTTCATTTCGTATTTATTTTTTTTACTTTTCTTTTTGAATTTCCTTAGTGAAAATCATGTCTGAGCCACTACTAGTATTTGTTTTTATGTATGAAGTTGAGTTTTGAGAATGGTATTCCTACAAATGTAGCTATGGTTTGAATAAACAGCAACCCAACACATTGCCTTAGCACTTTTCAACTCAAGACTATTTTACAAGACTGCTCTTTTCTAATCTAACAATAAATTGCTTGACTTATAAACTATATTATTTTTTCTAGTTTAGGACTTTAGGTAGTGTTACGGCCGAAAGGTTTACTTCATATATTAATTCATCCAAAATTATAAATGCACACTAAGATATAATCAATGTTAACTAAATTTTCAAGAAAGAAAATATCAACGAACAAGTCACAAAATTGAATCACCTATCAAGTGAGTTGATTCGGGAGGATAAAATATACACACCAAAAATATACATATACCCATTCGGAGCATGCGAATTTCTTATTCTTATCTTATATTTAAAAAACAAAGATTTTGTGGTAATCTCAATAAATTATTTTTCAGAGGTGTGAATGGGGAGATGCCTTTTGGAAGTTGCAAATAGACTATAGTTGTTGAAAATTTTCCCACGAGATTAGATCAAGCCAATGGTGACCTCCCACGTGGCAATTAAATCGACTTAAATGCGTTGATTTTAAACAAATCAGTTGACTATGTCTTCTATAATTCTCCAACATTCTCCTTAAACACATCTTTTTTTTATTTTAATTTCCACGCGATATTCCGTTTTTATATTGGAACCTCGTCTAATTAAAATTCTTGTTGTATAAAACTTATTAAAATAAAACATTCTCTGCCTTAATTTTTTATTCTCAAGACTCGAATTTGAGATCTCTAATTAAGGATAAAGAAATTTTATTCGTCCATCAAATTCTTAACATATTTTCTTAAATTTCTTTGAAAATTAGGACTACAACTAATTTGTACTTGTAAGTTGTAATTAGTTATGACCATTTCAATTCAAAGATGCAAATACAATAATCTTATATGTGGGGTCCAGTTTTTGTGGGGACCTTTTACAAAGTCTGACTAATACAATTACTTTTATCTCAGTCAAAGTGGGCATTATGACCTCCCCTTTGTATTAGTTACGCTTGTCTTTTGCTTTGTGGCTTTGTTAAGAAGTTAATAATGTACTACTCCATCCGTTTCAATTTAGCTGGGTACTTTGATTCGATACGAAATTTTAAAAAAAAAAATATTTTTAAAATTTATGGTCTTAAAAACTTAATGGGTAAAAGCTTTGTGGAGACATGACATTTGTGTGATTATAAAAGCTTCTTATTAAAGGTAAAATGAGTAAAATAAAGAGTTTGTTGAATTATTTTCAAATTTAAAAATATGTGGAACAGACAAAAAAGTAAAGTAACGGAGTAACAATTAGTAATAAGACATTAATTAATAGTAAATTAAGAGAAAAAGTCCAATGGAAATTTTGGAGCCTTCTTATCTAGTGGATTCAGCATACCATATTTTTATAATTTTGGGTTTTTTGTCATGTATCATTAGTCATTATGGAGCAGTAGCAAAATTCTATCTAATTGACAAATTATTCTTTGTATTTAATTTCTACACATTTTCCAGAAATATTTATTTTAAAAAAGAGTAGGAATGGGAGAATTAATCTTCATCTGAAAAATAGAGGGTCCGGGGTGCATAAAGTATTAAAAAATATTGTTCTAAACACACGTAAAAATAAAAATTCAATTGCAGTAGACCGAAAAAATAATATACACATTAAAGTAAATATTACGCGTTAGATAAGCTAAAAATCATATGTATAGAACTGTAAATACCAAGGTGCTATTTTTTTTTTATAAACGCATCTTATAGTATGTTTTAATTTAACTTCTAGACGGTCAAAATTTTGAAACGAAAAGAAAATAATTAAAGAGTTTAGCTGTCACAAAAATAAAAAAATAAAATACTGCTGTCATTTATGGATTTGTAGATAATTTTCTCCATGCTCTATCGTATTTAATTTCCATAAAAGTCGATGATTAAATAAAAAATATTGTAATAAAACATACACTAGTTTACTTTGTCAAAAACATACAAAACCTTGTTTAATTGACTTAGAAAATTTGTACATGACGTATTCATAGTAGCAAGTCATATTCTCATGACTCATATCACAAATAATTATCCAAAATATTTAATATTGAAGTATGCTCAATTAAGAATTAAGCATTAACTCACTAGTTTGAGACGTTATATGCAAAGTTGAATTTCTAACTATAACTACCATTCTTGTTTTCTTGACGACGTTCATTCATTTTACGTGACTCTTTTTTAAAAAAAAATTTTAAAAAAAGAATTATATGGCATTTCTTAATTTGAAAACTATTCAATAACTTACATAATTTATTGAAACGCCATATGGTATATATGTTAAAAAAAAGTTATTTACAACTTTAAATATTTTTTTCAATTTCAACTTCAAATACTTTTCTTTAAACTTTAATCAAATATCAACCAAACGCCAGCTTAATTAGTTCTCTAGCTTACTATATGTCCGTTAATTATTGATAAAAAAAGCATTTTTGGTACTTGACGTGTTAAATTTCTCGTTAAATAATGTTACATAAATGAAACGAAGTAAAACAAGGCAACCTGATAGCACTAAGAAAGGGTCGAACCACTAAAATCTTATTAGAGCAAACACTCTTACTTTGCATTTGCGTGAGATGATTTGAAATAAGAATTTGAAAAGGGTAAAATGGTAAAAAGAACATCTTCCCGTAGACCGACGGTGACAAGGACGGCGGGCAATTCTCTCCTTTGTTCTTACTCCTCAAACTCATATTACGTACTATACATTTCAGAGAGAAGACTTTTATGCCCAACTTTGATTTTTTCCACATTTTTCTTTTGTTCTCAAGAGTCAAAACCAAAACCCAAATTCTAAACCATAAACATATATACAGCAAACAAAAAAAGTAGCAGCGAAAAAGTAAGCAAAAAACAGCAAATCTCTTAATTCTTTGGTCAAGTAATTCAGCTGTTAGTTTGTCCGTGTCCTCTGTATCTTCTTTGCTTCAAAGTTGGGCACTTTGTACTACTCTTCAATATTCATTATCATTAATTTTGCTCAAGAATTACGCGGTATTATACCTTTTTATCAATCTTTTTCTTGCTTTTTCATTTATGAATCTTGAAAATTCAAAACCCCACTTCACCCCCTTTACATATTCTGCTCTTTTTTCCCCCTCTCAATTTAGTTTTCTTGTTCATAATTCAGCTGATCGTTATTTGGGCTTATTTTTGGTATGTTCTTTTTTTTTCTGCAACTCTTAGGAAATGAAAACAGATTACCCTTTTTTATTTTTATTTTGTTTTTAGTGTTGAAGTCATTGAAAATGGAAAATTTTAGTTTTTTTTTTTGTTAGTTTCCAATAAGCTTTATGTTCTTCTTGTATCGTTTTAGCATAAGATTGAATATTTGATAAATGGATTTCATTCTTTATTGTTTTGATTTTGATGAGATTTTTTTTGTTTTGTTTTGCTTCTAATAGGCGTAAAGTTTGAATCTTTTTTTCGGATTTGAGTGTTGGGAGCAAAAATGGGAGGTGTTTGTAGCGTTGAAATCATTGAAAATTTAATAAATTATAGTTTTATTGTTAGTTTCCAATTAGCCTTATGCTCTTCTTGTATTGTTTTAGCATAAAAATTGAATCTTTGATAAATGGATTCGAGTCGTTATTATATTGGTTCTGATGAGATTTTTTTTTTTTTTTTTTTTTTTTTTTTTTGTGTTTGCTTGTGGTAGGTGTAAAGTTTGAATCTTTAATCCCCATTTGATTTTTTGGGAGCAAAAATGGGAGGTGTTTGTGCAGGTGGGACAGCAAAGAATAGAGCTGAAATTCACCATGAGATTGAGAGCACCTCAGGTTCTTCAAAAAAGCTAAAATCAGTCAGGAGTTTTGGAAAGGAGAATAAAGATGAATCCTTTTCATATCCTGATGTGAGTACTTTCCGCGGGACGCCTAATCTCTATGATTCTGGTGAATTGTACTTGTCTAATTTCAGGGAGTTAAAGCCATCTACACCTGCTAGAACTGGAGGGAACAAGGTACTCATTTTTCTGGAAATATAATCTTTGTCTGTGTATTTGGATGCTTGCTTAGAGTTTATGTAGCAAAGCCGATCTCGTTGTTTATTATATGTGTTGTTCACGGCAGTAATTGGCCAAAAAAAGGGTAGAAAATTGAAAGGAAGTGTTAATTGACCGCATAGATTAATTTGAATTCGAGCTTCTGCATTTTGTAATTTCGAGATGTACAGGTTTTCCAGAAGCTGGTGGAATTAGGATGAAATGAAAGAATTGGTTAGATGAATAAGAACATGTGTCGAAATAAGGTGATGTTGGAGTTGATGTTTCTATTTGGTAGTATGAGGACCAAGATGCTGAGTCCTGCTGAAAAAATAGAATGTGACTTGTCTTCGATGTGCTTTTAGTTTCAAAGCATTGTGATGAGATGGGTGTTCTTCGCTTGTCGAAACATTCTGCTGCAATCACTACAAAACCAGCAATTTGGAAGCTCGAGTATTTCCACATGATTTATTGGGCAATTATCGCCTCTTCTGCTAGAATTTGAGATGGTTCCATGGCATTGGAGATAATTGCACAGCAGCACGTTCTGGATCAGATTCTGCCAAAATTGTGCATAAGATAACTTAGTTATGCCATGTTTGCCTAAGCTTGATATTGATTTTTTTTTTTGAAGCTTGATATTGAATTGTTCTAGATTTGCTGGTTTAAATGTGAGGTGCACTTGAGGACAATTAAGATGAGGCTAAATCTGTCTGAAACATGTAATGAGTAGATAAATGGTTAAGAATTTGATAAACTTGTCAAACCAACAAAAATTGAAGTGAAGTAATTAAGATGACTTAAGTGAAGAAGTCATCGTTGTGTTTGAGCAACTTTCAGTTTCCTTTTATTTGATTTACATTTCAAGTAAATCTAGAATATTTATATTTCATTGCTATGAGGTAACAAGCCATGATTTCTTCTTGTGATAGGCTGCTAGCTCTTTTCTTGGAAAAGCAAGTATAGTCAGTCTAGAGAAAGCAGTAGAAGTATTAGATACACTTGGGAGCAGCATGACAAACTTGAATTCCGGAGGGTTTATGACAGGAACGGCGTCAAGAGGGAATAAAGTATATATTCTAGCATTCGAGGTAGCGAATACCATCACCAAAGGTGCAAATTTATTGCAATCTCTTTCCAAAGAAAATGTTCAGTATTTAAAGAAGGAAATTCTACCTTCAAAGGGAGTGCAACAGTTGGTTTCTACTAATATGACCGAGCTGCTTACTATTGCTGCTGCCGACAAAAGGTTAGCATTTTGAACATCCACTCCCTACCCCACACGTCCTAAAAGTAAACTGAAGTGAAACTGGACATGCAGAGGCATGTGCGGTATTGTCATGCATTGGTGAGAATAAGTTTATATGTTTTCTGTAGGGAGGAATTTGACGTTTTCTCGCGTGAAGTCATTAGGTTTGGAGATATGTGTAAAGACCCACAATGGAAAAAATTAGGTCGATATTTTTCCAGGTAAGTTAACGCCATTTTACTGTAGATGAGTTAAACCAATATTGATTTAATTGAAGAGGTTTATCAGAAGCTATAACCACTTCTCAGGTTGGACTCAGACTCTGGTGCACATAAACAACTAAGAGCAGAGGCCGAATTGATGATGCAGGAATTGACCATTCTGGCTCAACATACTTCGGTAAGTTCATACCTCATTTTGAAAATGCCTTGTGACTTTCTCCAAGTTTTTGTTTCTCAACATGTCACATGTGGTTTGCAGTATGAGTGATCTCTTCCTTTTGTCTTTATACTTCTTTTATATCCTTCTCAATTGCATGAGCTGTAATAATCTGAATACATACTCCCTCCATTTCAATTTATGTGAACCTGTTATTGTTTGGAGAGTCAAACAAGATTTTTTTTTTACCACATTCTTTGCAATTTTTTTTATTTTATATTTTGAATTGTTAATTATTGTGACTTATAGTACTTTGTATGTAGTTTCTAATTATGTAAATTTTATTTCAATTTATTTTTAAATTCTATGTCCAAATTCACGCCTAAAATTAGTCAGTCTGACCATCGTACTCCGAAAAGGTTCACATAAACTGAAACAGAGGGAGCCGTTCTCATGGATAGCTTTTCAATCGGCAGCGGTGTCAGATTACCAGCTATGTTGCTTATTTGAATAACCTAGCATAAATTTTGTACAGTATATATGCTTATTTACTTTTATGTGTTTGTTCTCTGATGTCGACATGTGAGTTGATATTCAACCCATTCATAAGTGCAGAAGCGTCGTACTGCATTAATGTTTTACAACCTGAATATTGCATTAATGTTTACTTGATTTTTTTCCCTACATCGGGTTTTATTTATTCTGAATTGTTGTTTTCTCTAGAAAGATATGGTTCACATCTATGTTGCATATGCCAAAGTCAGTGATGAGATTCTGACCACTAATGTCTTTACAGGAATTGTATCATGAGCTGCACGCACTGGATAGATTTGAGCAGGATTATCGCAGGAAACTTGAGGAATTAGATTCTTTAAATCTACCTCGAAAAGGCATGACAGTTTTACTTTTTTTTAGTTATCTCTGAATTCTCATTTGTTGCAATCTATTGTCCTGGGCATTCTTCCAAAAATTGTATCAATATACTCATCTTTTGCAATTTAGTGGGTTGCATTTGACCAAGTATTTAATAAAATAAAAAATAAAAAACTAAATTTTTAACTCTTTGTTCGGCTCTATGACAGATGTAACCGATGTAGATTCTCTTATAGACTTCCTTTGTTCCTCGCACAGTATTTAATGCAACTGACTTTTGTATCTAACATCATTGTACTACTCAAGCACCATTAACAGTGCTTTTATACATCAATAAGATCTTTTGCTTGCTCATAATAAAGAAAAAATACGTTTTGATGTTTGGTTTTTCTATAGATTTCCTGGCTTCTTATTTGCTCAGCTTCATTAAAACATTTGGTAGATTGGCATACAAATTGACTTATTTTCCTTCAATTTCAGGAGAAGGCCTAATGATGTTACAGAGTGAGCTAAAACATCAAAGAAAAATTGCGAGGAGCTTGAAAAAGAAATCTCTTTGGACTAAGAGTTTGGAGGAGGTACTTTGACCAAAAATGTCTTTATATCATTTCTAAAGAATGCGTTTTTTACTTTACTAGATTTCATTGGCTTTTCCAAAAATCAAAATAATAAGACTCGTTATAAAAAGAGAAAATTTTCAAATTTACCGTGGAAATTGGTTAAGCACATGGATGTGACATGCTTTTCGTGGGATTTAGTGGTTGAAATGAAAATTTCTCTTTTAATAATGCTGTTTTTATTATCTTTAGAAATGACCACTTTTTGATCCCAAATTTAATCATTTTAGGTTGTGGAGAAGCTTGTTGACATTGTTACTTATATACATCATGCAATTGTGGAAGCATTTGGGGACAATGGTATGAGACTACCTGTGGTTTTATTGATTAGTTCAAACTTGGCTGTCAGTTGTCATTATCAGCATTCTATTATTTTTAAATAATGAACTTGCGAGAGTAATAATAGATTATTTCATTGGTGTTGATAAATGGCCGTTTGCGTTTTGACGCTCCACACCACTAAATTGCACCAGCCACTCTCATTCTTTTGCTCACATTTTACATTTTATCTTAGTAAACTATTTTTCATTAATGATGGTTATAGAGAACATCCTAAGCCATATACTGGCTTGAGAAAATTAAAATGAAAGGGGAAACGAAACAAAGGGACAGTCAAGTTACACTGTAAGATTTTGATTATTAGGTTGACCATAATGTCAATTGAATGACTTTGGGCTGTTTTAAAAATTGTTTGACTGATTTTAGGAATTACTTAAAAATTAATTACTCGAGCTAAGAACTACCAAGTCCCGAGACAAAAGGGAGGATAGTCTTCAGTGTCTTTCTTCGGATCTTCGGCGCCCAAGTTTACAGTGTCACTGCATTTTCAAACATTTTGGAAAAGAAGAAAGAGTTTTGTTTAATCTCTAATATGTACATTTATCAAGCAAACCTACTACTGGAATTACAGCGAAGTCGAGAAATGTAACTTCTTGAATGTGTCTCTCTTAACACTGGCCAGTCATCGATCTTCCTTGAAATCAGGATTTCTGAAGTCTATTCACACAGGACAAAGATAGATGTTGAAGTGAATAAAAATATAAGCAAAATGGTAAAAGGGATGTAAAAGACCATTGAAATGGTTGCAGGTTACTAACAGTGAAACTATACATAGAATTAGCTACAAATATCAAGTACTACCATCTTTCTATGAGCCTTTACCTTCTCTTGAATGGTAAATGTTTCATGCTCTCGATAGTCAATTCTTTGTGTTGTCATTTTAAGTACTTCTCTTGCTATTTATGACGTCAGATTTAACTTGCATATGTACGCACTGTCTCTTCTTTCCCGTAGTATATGATTGTTTCTTATATATAGATAGATGTCTATGTTTCTTGTAGGATTGACATCTGCTGGCAAGGAACCTGCCAAAAAACAAGAAAGACTGGGAGCAGCTGGTCTTGCTTTACACTATGCTAACTTAGTTACTCAAATAGATAACATTGTAAGTTTTAGTGCTGAGTTAGAGCGCTACTGAATGCACTGTTTAAGACTGCTCCAACATTATTTCTAACAACGGGAATTGATATCATGTCAGGCCTCACGCCCTACCTCTCTTCCTCCTAACTTGAGGGATGGATTATATAATGGATTGCCTCCCTCCGTAAAAACAGCCCTTCGTTCACGTCTGCAGGCGATTGATCCTAAAGAAGAGGTTTGTCCTCCATATTAATTTCATTTCTTCTGCTATCTCATCCACCGTCTCTTCCTTTATCCTTTCTCCCTTCTGCTCTCATCAGAGATTAATGATGTAGTCTGTTTCTTCTGTATGCATAAGTTTTATATATATCTAAAATAACTCCTCCTCGTTGTGCTTTTTGCAGCTCACAATTCCTCAGATAAAAGCAGAGATGGAAAAAACTCTCCAGTGGCTTGTCCCAGTAGCTACAGATACTACCAANTCTCCAGTGGCTTGTCCCAGTAGCTACAGATACTACAAAGTATGTGTTTCGATGGCTTTCTTTGAACTGAGTGACAATTATGCATTAAGTTTCCCCTCTCCAATTTTGCTAATATATGCTGATTCTTTTTGTCTTTTGTCTTCTCTTGGTAACTTGATAACAGAGCACATCAAGGCTTTGGATGGGTTGGAGAATGGGCTAATACCGGGTTAGTAGTCCATAATTCTCACTCGTTAACAGGTCCCCTCACCCATCTCCTAACCTTGCGCGAAATTAATATTTACATTTGCAGTTTGGTCTGGATAGCTATCTTCAGAATATAATATAATCAGATACGGATGCGTAAAAGATTGAATCCATCAAGTTTAAGTTTTTGATCTGCTTCTTACAACATTTGTTGTTCATCTTTCAGAAGCGATTCTGGCAAGAAGAACCCGGCACAAGTTAACCCTATTCGATTACAAACACTCTACCATGCAGACAAAAAGAAAATGGACTACCATGTCCTTGAACTAGTGACGTGGCTTCACCGTCTGATCAGTCTGGTACGGTTTAACGGTACCAAAGCTTTCCCCACACGATCACCAACGCGCAAAGGACTTGTTCTGGAGACAGAGACGATGAACCCTAACCCCAAAACACCTAAGGTCCAGATTTCTCTTGAAGATAGAAACTTACTAGATAAGGTTATGAAAAGGAAATGTTTGATTCCCGGAAGAAGCAAAAGCCAGGAATTTTTGTTGCCTAAGAATCAGAGACAGGTGTGGGCGCTAAGTAGAAGCATGGGTAGCTCACCTTGTACTGATTTTAAACATCCAAAGGGTAATGTTTTGGATATATTAGATGGCTTAGATTCAGCATTTTGAGTTCCTAAACAAGATTTCAAGCCAAAAGTTCATTTTTTTGTTTTCTTGATTCTTAGCTACCTTCACTTTTTCTGGAACTACAGCCTCTTGTATATAGTCCATCATATGGTGGTTGGGAAATTGTAATATTGTAGCATATGTTATAAAATAAAGACTATAAAGTAAAGACAAGTATATAGAGAAACTGATATATTATTCGA